TTGATGCACATACAACATCTTCAATATGCCAAACTGTTAATGTAATGCTTCTCTTTTGGTACTAAATTTAAGTATTACTTTTATGATTTTTTTTTTTTTTTAGAACTCCCTGAAGTTCCCACGAGACTTCCAGTGTGCTGCAGAAGACTGCCCCAGAATCCAGGGACTTAGAGCCAGCTTGCTGCAGAGTACACCACGGCTGCTTTTGTTTACTTACATGCAAAATTCAGGTACTTGCCGTGGGTCTCCTTGTTATGACAAAAAGGATCTGCTACACTTTGGTGCTGCTAGAAATAAAGTTCAAATTCTGCCTAGTGTAAGCATTCGCAAAGTCAGGAAACTACTGTTGCCAGAGTATGTGAGAAGGCAATAAAAGCCTAAAGTGAAATAAGTGTGTATCAGGAAAACCCCTAACATTGGGAACTATTTATTAGAACCAAAAAATTAAGTGTGTCTTTACTGACTTTAATGGGAACAGTATTAGACCAGGGCTTGAGTGCCTTTGCAATTTCTGCAATGCAGTATAAATACCTAGATAGTGCTATACAGCAACATGAATGGAGGCCGCCAGCAGCTGACAGTAATTTTCAGTCACTGCTTCCCTAGAACTAGACTGAAACTGGTACCAGAGATGAAAGACTCATCACAACCAAATTTCCGGTGTCTTTACAAAACTCTTCCATACTTGAAACTAATAACCAGTGACAGTGAGCCCAGTTTAGTTCCCTCTCCCATCACACCTAAAGTCCAGTTCAGGTACTGGCATACAAAAACTTCCACAGCTCCAGTCCCTTGTACTGTCAATAGCTATATGAGACAGTTTGCACACTACCAGTGGAACAAAGCCCCTTAATTGTGTTTTCAGCCCACATGCTGAACCAAATCCTTAACTGAGCATATGACAAAGAATGAACATTAACACACAGATAGTAATGATATTTAATAAACATTTGTTTACATTTTTAAAAAAGTTGCTGGTGTAATTCATAATGTACACTGAATTGGAATGGCAACAAATTGTTCTCATATAAATTTCCATCTATCGCTCTGAAGAAATATCAGATCTAGTTCCCAGTTGAATTTAGTCTAGGAGTGTCCTTTTGTAGTACCCCCACTTGATCAAGGGAGCTTTCACCTCTTTAAACAACATTATGTGATCTTCCAATTCACGTGACATGCTAAAACATTTCTTAAAAGGCACATAATTTTTTGCAGGTTTCTGAAGTTTCTCCTCTACACTTTGAGGACTAGTTGCTTTCTTTTCATGCTGTTTGGGAAGAGAGAGTTCCAAACTTCTAAGTTGTCAGGACAAGCTCTGCAGGTGAGATTTATCATCATGTTCTCATCTTGTGTGAATGCATTAACAATCTAATCAACAGAACACTTAAAGCAAACTGCCTTTTAATCTTCTAATCAGTGATCTAGCTTTTTTAAAGCAATAACTGTCTTAATATATTTGAGTTAGATGGTCACAGAAATACACAACTAATATGTAAATAAATAAAGTTGCTTCCAGCATCATATGTGACCTTTGATTAAAAACAGTCCTTGGAGTTTCAAAAAGATAAATAGTCAGACCAGAGTTGTATTGCAAATTAAGTTAAAAGTTATGAATATTCCAGTTGGTAAATAAGGATTGTAATATTCAAACTATACTGAATTTGATTTCTGATTAATATAGTTAAGGTTTCAGAATTAGAAACTTTTTTTTATAGGAAGTAGACCAAATTTACTATTGTATTGAAGACACACTAGTAAATATAAAGTGTCATTTACTAAAGAAAAGACTGACAGTAGCAGCCACATCCAGGGTAATTTTTGTTGTACTTATTACTGCCCTTCCCTTCTTTCACTGTAGTTTCTATGGGCTAAATTCTGTCACCTATATCTCCTGAGCATGATGGAAAGCCAAAGAGATGGGACCAGTTGTAGATAGACTTCTGTATCCTTGATTATCCACGCATGGATGTAAGTCAATGGAGGCAGACCATTGCACTCTGCCTGACTTACATACAGAGCCAGTTCATCTCCACAAGCTATCAAGACTTCATTAGTGACCCTGTGTAATTTCTGAAGCCTTCCCCTCATCACCCCAATCATGTGCAAAGTTAGCCTAGCTCACCATTACTACAACATATGGTGACAACCAGAAAAGGAACAGGCCCCCACACAAGCCCACTGGAACAGTGTTATTGCTCTGGATATTTACTTGCAAATGTTTAATGGAGTTGATTAAACATCACAATGTAAAACTAATTTTTTCCTCCGTTATAGTATACGTAAAAAGAGTAGATTAGATAATTGAGAACATTGGAATGTTCTGTGAATTATATTTAAGAAATGTAACCCATGTCAATTAGAAACAGGCACTCTTTAAAGCCCCTCCCAAAAGATTTATACCTGAGTGCAGAATTTCCTACATATTACTAAGTAAACTAGATACTCTGAAAGTGAGCGCTAAGATGTGACGTTAGAAACTGTACACAAATACCATAGGAAAAGCTTAGTTAAACACTATGTGGAGTTAGTCACCAAATGGAAGGAATGAATATCTGATGAAGTATATGTCAAGCTTCCTTTAGTTGAGCAACTGACAGATTTCTTTATGGACACAGCATAGGAAATCAACATAAGAAGCTCCTCCATAAAGACTTTTGTCTTCCACCAGGTATTGTCGGAAAAGCATTTCTGCTTGTTCTCGTTGCTTTGCTATTAGCAGCTGGAATGAGAAATACTGATTATTCAGGATATAGCAAGGGTTTGTTGATAAAACTATTTCTCTGAAAATACACTATGTGCTTTAGCTGAGCAGTGTCTGTAACTCATGGAGATCCAGGTAGCAGCAGCACAAGCACATATGTACACTGGGAAGTCAGGCTGCCATGGTGCAGCCCATACTGCTATTTTAAGTGAGCTAAGTAGATCAGTTAGTTACATAAGTTTATGTAGACATACCCACGCTAACAAAGAACCCTCATAGTGACTGGGTATGACGGTACTGCAGACACTCTGGGTGCATGTGTAAATATCTTGGAACAGCTTAAGCCCTTGTCTTTGAAAATCTTGCCCTAAATAACCAGCATCTATGTTCAATTCAAAAGCAAGCCCATAATCACCCTGATTTAATTTCTGTAAGTGAACTGTGCTACATACCTTGAAGCTTTTACTACTTTATGGTGGCATAAAATAAGTGTGCAGTATTTGCCTTATTCTGCTCCGATTTAAATCAAGAGCCAGGGACTTCTGTGGAAGCAGAGTTAAGCCTGCCCTTTGGGAGATGGCTATAAATTGAACATATTTGGGCCCTGCTTCAACAAAGGGATCTGCCTGGCTAGGCCTTTCCACTGATACAGAGCCTGCTGAAGTCAAAAGCCCATGCAGCAATAAAGGTTTCTGAACAGGTGTCCCTTTGTTACAGGTTATAAGTTTCCAATCAAAGCCAGCATTGCACAAATATTTTTTTATGGACAAGAGGAATCTGACTTGAATTAATTTTTCCAAGTAACTCATCATTTTCTCTCCTACCTTCATGGAGTAAGGTCTGTTGCTCTGGATGTAATCCATTATTGATCTGAGCTTCTTAGAATAGGGATTGTCCACTTCAGGGAGTAGTGTCTAATAACAGAATTAAGAGGTGATGAAATAGTTACATGATTCTATACACATCTATCATTAGTAGAGTCAATGCTAACATTAGTGACTAAACATTAAGAGGGCTGTGTATATTTTGTGTAGGAGAGGCTTTCCAAGACCCCACAAAATTATACTGGCAGATTGTGAAAGGCGTAACCAGTTCCCATTTCAAACAGGAAGATGTTGAGAGTCTCTGGGTTAGGCTAAAAGGGGTAAAAAACAAGGGTGATGTCATGCTAGGAGTCTATTACAGGCCACCTAACCAGGTGGATGAGGCTTTTTTTAAACAACTAACAAAATCATCCAAAGCCCAAGATTTGGTGGTGATGGGAGACTTCAACTATCCGGATATATGTTGGGAAAAATAACAGCAGGGCACAGACTATCCAACAAATTCTTGGACTGCATTGCAGACAACTTTTTTTTTTTTTCAGAAGGCTGAAAAAAGCTACTGGGGGGGAAGCTGTTCTAGTATTGATTAACAAATAGGGAGGAACTCATTGAGAATTTGAAAGTAGAAGGCAGCTTGGGTGAAAGTGATCATGAAATCATAGAGTTTGCAATTCTAAGGAAGGGTAGAAGGGAGAACAGCAAAATAGAGACAATGGATTTCAGGAAGGCAGATTTTGGTAAGCTCAGAGAGCTGATAGGTAAGGTCCCATGGGAATCGAGGGGAAAAACAACTGAGGAGGAGAGTTGGCAGTTTTTCAAGGGGACGCTATTAAGGGCCCAAAAGCAAGCTATTCCGCTGGTTAGGAAAGATAGAAAATGTGACAAAAGACCACCTTGGCTTAACCACGAGATCTTGCATGCTCTAAAAAATAAAAAGGAGTCATAAAAAATGGAAACTAGGACATATTACAAAGGATGAATATAGGCAAACAACACAGGAATGCAGGGTTAAGATTAGAAAGGCAAAGGCACAAAATGAGCTCAAACTAGCTACAGGAATAAAGGGAAACAAGACGACTTATCAATACATTAGAAGCAAGAGGAAGACAGGGTAGGCCCACTGCTTAGTGAAGAGGGAGAAACAGTAACAGGAAACTTGGAAATGGCAGAGATGCTTAATGACTTCTTTGTTTCGGTCTTCACCGAGAAGTATGAAGGAATGCCTAACATAGTGAATGCTAATGGGAAGGGGGTAGGTTTAGCAGATAAAATAAAAAAACAACAAGTTAAAAATCACTTAGAAAAGTTAGATGCCTGCAAGTCACCAGAGCCTGATGAAATGCATCCTAGAATACTGAAGGAGCTAATAAAGGAGGTATCTGAGCCTCTAGCTATTATCTTTGGAAAATCATGGGAGACGGGAGAGATTCCAGAAGACTGGAAAAGGGCAAATATAGTGCCCATCTATAAAAAGGGAAATAAAAACAACCCAGGACACTACAGACCAGTTAGTTTAACTTCTGTGCCAGGGAAGATAATGGAGCAAGTAATTAAGGAAATCATCTGCAAACACTTGGAAGGTGGTAAGGTGATAGGGAACAGCCAGCATGGATTTGTAAAGAACAAATCATGTCAAATCAATCTGATAGGTTTCTTTGATTGGATAAGGGAGAAGCTGTGGATGTGGTATATACCTAGACTTTAGTAAGGCATTTGATACAGTCTCGTATGATATTCTTATCGATAAACTAGGCAAATACAATTTAGATGGGGCTACTATAAGGTGGGTGCATAACTGGCTGGATAACCGTACTCAGTTATTGTTATTAATGGTTCCCAATCCTGCTGGAAACACATAACGAGGGGGTTCTGCATAGGGTCTGTTTTGGGACCGGCTCTGTTCAATATCTTCATTAACGACTTAGATATTGGCATAGAAAGTATGCTTATTAAGTTTGCGGATGATATCAAA